GTAAATTGCTGTGAATCTCTGCTTTATGGGTGGGCAGTTAATAGCCCACAACACACACACACACAAGTTCATACTGCCAAAATTAAGTGGCAAAATAGCCAAGGATGGAATTGGTTTGCCTCTCAGAAGTGTTCTGTTCCTACTTAGAACAAAAACTCAAAACAGCCACCCAAAGGCCATAAAAAAACTCAGCCCCATGCTCCTTCCAGTGGTATTACAACATCACCAGAGCACCTCTTGTGCTCCTTCAGAAGACTAAGGGACCAAGTTGTGGTTCCCAGCCTGGGGAAATTTCTTTCTTCTGCTCCTTCTGTTAAGTCTAAATAGCTACTGCTATATTCTAGGATGTGGCTATACATTTTGTGGAATTGTGGGCAAAAGCATCTAAATATGTATAGTAGTTAGTAGGATTTCAGTGGTATATAGAACATTTTTGCACCTTAGGCAGTTTCACAGTATTGTCCTGAACTTTAATTAATTACAAGGTTTCTATCCTAGTCTAGTCATAAATAACTCTGTAAGTATATACTATTCAATGTCTGAGTAAGCAACATTATACACAATGCAGAAAAACAGTAAGAAACAATACAGTGGAACCTCGGATTATGAACACCTCCGTTAACGAACTTTTCAGGTTACGACCAGCTCCAGCCGCAAAAATTTGCCTCGGTTTGCGAACTCCACCTCGGGGTACGAACAGGATACGCGGCCATTTTCCCTCCCGTGGCACGGTCCGCGGCCATTTTTCCGCCCCTGACACGTGGTCCACGGCCATTTTCCCACCCCTGACACATGGTCCACGGCCATTCTTCCGCCCCTGACACGTGGTCCGCGGCCATTTTTCCACCTCTGACACGTGGTCCGCGGCCATTTTCCGCCCCTGACACGTGGTCCGCGGCCATTTTTCCACCTCTGACACGTGGTCCGCGGCCATTTTCCGCCCCTGACACGTGGTCCGCGGCCATTTTTCCACCTCTGACACGTGGTCCGCGGCCATTTTCCGCCCCTGACACGTGGTCCGCGGCCATTTTTCCACCTCTGACACGTGGTCCGCGGCCATTTTCCGCCCCTGACACGTGGTCCGCGGCCATTTTTCCACCTCTGACACGTGGTCCGCGGCCATTTTCCGCCCCTGACACGTGGTTGTAGGGAGGGGGACTCTCCCTCCAAGCAAAAGCCACCTCCCTGTCCTCCACAGGCCAAAACGGATTAACGGTAATTACATTGAACCTTATGGGGAAATTTGCTTTGGTTTGCGACCAATTCAGGGTGCGACCAGAGTCACAGAACGAATTAAATTCGTAACCCAAGGTTCCACTGTATATAGAAAAAGCTAAAGACCAGAAAGAAAAGAAAATTTAACTGAATCTAGCTTATACTGAGACCATTCTTCATACCTTTCCACAACTTTCTATCCTTGCAAACCAACCTTGCTTCCACTATTTTTGTTTTTGGTGCTTTGTTCATGAAGTTGAGTTCCTCCAAAAGAGAGTGGTGATAAGATTAAAGAACAAAAGATAATATTTGACGTATGTATCAACATAGTTGGATACTGTCTAACATTCCTTGTAAATTGTTAGGATTCTCAGCCTAACAATCACTGGCATCATACTTCTAATGTCACTACATGCATGAAAGCTATAATTTGCATGAAATACATATTTATGTACCTGTCCATAAATACATTAAATAACCAAATCACATATCTTTGTCTTATTCTCTGATCAAACATCAAACCACTCATTAAACATTCCATTTATTCTCATGTATACATTTCATCATATTCAGCAATTAACCTTAAATTGTGGATTTGTGGATGACACCTTTGCAATTTGGAGTCAGGATGAAGAAGACCTAGAGAAGTTCCT